GAAATATTCCAATTTATCGTAAATTCAATTATTATTTGTTAATTAGTGAAAGTTTGAATGTACAGTTAGTCATGAATTCGATTATTTATTCGACCAAGTCCAACTGTGCAATTTATACGATATTTTTAATGAAAAAATGGGCACGAAATATGTTCAAAGCTTCGAAATTATACGACGTTTACACTATATTTTACTGACATCAGATCACTCATATCTTTTCCTCATTAATATCAACCTCTGTCAAAGTTCAATAATCGGAAAAGGTGTGGCTAGAAACATTTCTGTAAAATGCTTTTAAGCTTTAAGACAGCTCCCTTGATACACACGACAATACTGCTCGGATGGTCTGATTTTTTCAACTTCATTTATTTAGCAAGAGAAGATCTAATATATAATCTAAGCAAATATGTAAATAACATAATTTAGAGAAAACGATTTTTTTTGTTTTAAACTCATGAACACTCATTTGTTTCGACATGAATTATAAAATAATTTGATATCGAAAATAAAGGTGGACTACAAAAATATTGTTTGGCGTAAGCTCTCAGTCTCTTCTCTGATATGTCAAAATAACGAGGTTATATAGGCCAAACAGCCCAACATTTTTGTGGGCCACTTATGTTTTTCGGTTTTGTGATCAGATTATTTTACAATTCAAATGGAAAGCAAACGGGCATTTATGAGATTTTAGAACCTAGTTAAATTAGTTAATTTACTTCATGTCTGATGATTTTAGTAGATAAAGAATTTGAAAAAAAAGATGAAGCTATTCGCCAACTTTTAAGCGGATGCTGATAATTTGCTAAAATGTTGTCTGTAGCACGGACTACAAAGCTTATTCAAAATTTTCAAGTTATTTTTTTGTTTTTTAATGTTACCTATTTATTAATAGTTTTAATTATTATATTATAAAATACTAAAATATGAAATACTAGTATCGAATAATGGCTTAATAAGGCGTGAAGATATTTACAATTTACGATTCCTAAACAACCATATATAACATTAATAGTTTTAAAATATAATTACCTTTCGTTCAATTCAAATAAATAAAAAAATATATATTATCCTACTTTTTAATTCGTTCCACTGTGCGACGTTTTTCTCATATATATTATATATAGCAACATAAACTGACTATATAACTGCTTAAACGATATATATTAAACTGTTGAGTCATTTACTACATCTATTCAGTAATATTAGTAGTTGTTGACGTGAGATGTATCATCGCTTGTATTTTTCATTTGTGATGATGTGTTAAGTCGGTGAAAAGTTGACTGATTAGACATCAATTAATGTTTGAAATACTCGAGGACTTTTATGCAACAGCAAGGACACAAACTTTGTAAGTTACCGTAATCGATGTAAATTGTTTATTGTAATTTTCACGCATAAAATCAATCATTCTTTTCAACTAACGCATTAATTAATCGTTAAAACTGAGAGCATTGTTGAAAAAGCAAGCACCTTAAATGCATGAAGGCCTTGGAAATAAAAATAAAGTACAAGATAGAGATAAACGGAAATCCGTTTCTTTTTACACCTACAATAATAAAAATATTATGTTACCGTTAATCAACAGTAGTTATCAGTTATTGCAGTCTTTATTTTGTTTATTTATTTAGCTGTTTATCAGCAAATAATTTTCAGATATTTTTAATATTATTAATATTCAAATTCATAGTTTTGCATGAATAAAAAATATTTCTGCCATTTATGTTATTAAAATAATTAGATTTTAACAAAAATTTAAATAAAGGAATGTATTACATATAAAGTGTTATATAATATAATAATAGCTGATACTATTCGATCATTTATTTTGAATTTTTTTTTTATTCTAAAAAAATAACTAAACCGATTTCCTATACTTAAATATGCGCATTTAAATTTCATGGTATTAGTTTCCAAGACGGGTATAATCAGTCATAAAACATTAAACTTAGAAATGGTTTATTTTTTTTTAAATCTTTTAATCGTTTGTATAAATTTTGAATTAAATTCCATTGTCAAAGTATTTCAAGAGTAAAAATATAGGGTGTAAAATATATATATATTACTCAGTAGAGTAACTACATTTTAGAAAAATTGAGAAAATCAGTTATTGTTTTAGTTAAGTGATCTATGATTGCCTTGCGTAATTAGTCAATTAAATAAGTTATAAAAGAAACTTAATTACTTAATGGTCAATGGGAGTTTAGAATACGTTACGTCAAATAACTTTATACATAACAAATTTTATATACCAGTATATATAACCTATTATCTACAGTTATAATCAATTGGTTTCTAACAGTGTTTTAATCTTTAGTCAAATTTAATTAGTTTCTGATCGAAATATTATAAATACCTTTTATTTCATATATTTTATAAATGAAAATAAAAAATGGACATTTTTGGGACATCTAATTTAGGTATTCTTTATTTTTTCGCGAATCTCTATGAGTCTGATCTTTTCCATTTTGTTTTCAAATAACATAAACATTATAATTTTAAAATTGTCTAAAAATAGTTTTCCGACTATTTATTTATCATACTGCTTTAGAATGATAGCTAGATTATATTTACAATTTATTGAATATCATTTGTTTCTTTGCTTCATTTATATCAGAGAATAGGAATTTTCGTTACTCTTATACATATATTTACTCTATTTTAAAAATAATAATTGATTATGACATAAACCTAATAAAAATATTATTAGTAATATATGTATATTATATCAATATTTTCTCTTTTGTATCACGGTAAATCTGAACTGAACTGAACATGGTGTCTCGTAAATTGAGGGAATTTTTAAAGGAATGTTAGAAGATCTCAACTTCTTTAGAAAGGTTTATATAAACTATATTCCGATTGTATGCAGAAAAGTAGGAAATTTAAGTTTCCAGTTTGTTTTTTTAAAGTAATTCACGTTCCTTTTTTTTTTTTAATAGGAAGCGATAACTAAAAACGTATTTAATTTAAGCAATGAACAATTGTTTCACAGTAAATTAGATAAAATTTATTTCTAATGAAAGTAGAATTTGTCATTGTTAATACCATTCAAAGAGGACTTAAAAGCGGCTAAACCCAACTATGTTCTGTTTAAAAAATAAAAACATAAATTATTCACGATTTTTTTTTTATCATCCCTCAACTATAATACAGACACCTCACTTTTAGAAAAACTTCCTTGTTTTTATGTTTTCATTATTTTAAACCTAAATATAAGGATTAGAACTATGTAGTTGGCCAAATATAATTTCGAATCAATTCCTATAATAGAGATGTTCATAAAAAAAAAACAGTTCATTATCACTTTAGATGATAACATCATAAAATTAAAATTAAAAAGAAATTAAAGTTTTCAATAATTTATAGTTGTAATTTTCACTGAATACACGGGTACTTTTAAGTGACAGGATATCAAATCATTTTTTACACAACTTGATGTGAATCCTAACATTTTCCCCAATAAACATTAACTTAACCCTTATGGATTTAAAGTTTATTAAACAAGAAGGTTTTTCGAATAATGGCATAACTGGGTGAACTATACTTGTTTTAGGGTGATAAAAACAAAAATTAACAAATATCTTTTACCATTATTTTCACCGAAAATGACTACAACTAATTGTTGCAAAGCTTTTATCTCTTGTTGAGGAATATATTACAATAAATGTAATTCCTCAATACACTTTTTATTTATAAAAAATAAACTTTTTTTAAAATGTTTTTTAGACACTGTGTTCATTGTCTTAAAAATAAAATGTATATTAAGATAATTATGTTTATTGTAAAACATTACAGATAATGGAAAAACAAGAAATAAAAGCTTTGCAACAATCAATTAAAGTGAACGGATAAAATCGCATAATTTTTTTACACAACTTTAGGTGACTCTCTAGTTTTTTTCCTTAATTTAATATACCTCCATTAAATTAATATACAATTAAAGCCTAATTAAAGAGAAAGTCTTTCTAAAAGTTGTCTATCTGCAGTATAGTCAGATGACGATAAAAAAAAAAAAATTATAATTTTTTTCAAAACAGAACTTAGCTTAGTTTAGCCGCTCTAAAGTCCCCTTTTAATGGTTTTAAAAATGACTAATTCCAATTCCGTTTGAAGTAAATTTTGTCTAGTTAACAGTGAAGCAATTATTAATTACTTAAATTAAATATTTCTTTAGTCGCCGCGTCCTATTCAACAAAAAAACAGGACTCACTTTAAAAAATACAAAACTTGCATTTCATAAAGTTCTACTGAAAACTGGTCCATTGTTTATAAATACTTTTCTGTAGGTCTGCTATAACTTCTATAGAAATGTCCCTCTACCTACGGGATACCCATACACCCGTATATATATACATATACATGTGTATATGTATATATATATATATATATATATATATATATATATATATATATATATATATATATATATATATATGTAGTATTATTTATTAACTTTTTTTTATTTTTTTTACACAAATATTTTTCACCCTTGAAATATTCTGACGATGGAATATAATTCAAAATTTATGCAAACGATTACAAGATTTTTTTAAAAATGTACATAAATAAACCATTTCTAATGGTTTATATATATATATATATATATATATATATATATATATGTATACATATACATGTGTATATATATATATATATATATAATATATACTTAATAGTATATAGAAGATAATATATACTTACTGGTATATATTGCTACATACATATATATAGTATATGTATATAAATACATATATATAGTTGCACAAGTCTCAATGACACATATATATATATATATGTGTAGCAATATATACCAGTAAGTATATATTATCTTCTTTCTAAATTTTGTTTTAGAACTGTAATTATATTATGTTTATATTTCATTAAATACAGTTTGTTGCGCATGTCTTAAATAATGGTTGTCAATCCTCATTTTTTTTCTTTCTTTCTGTTTAGCAATTTATTTTGTATTCGCCGTAGGAAGAGGATCGTGACAGACTTACCCGCCCATGGGCCAAACTTGGCGGCTAGGTGAAGCGGTGGCAGTAGCCTGGGCAGGAGGTGGGCCCTCAGGGCTAGCGCAAGCTGGAAGATGAAGTCCGCAAGGAGGACGCCTAGGAGGAGGGCGCCGAGGAGGGCGAAGAGCTCAACGGGCAGCGACATGCCGGTGACTGTTAACTCCCGCCTCCCGCTGCCCTCCTCCCTACCCCCGCTGGCCAGATATCTGCCCGTAACCTTTCTCTTATCGCACATACGCTGATAAACAAACAAGAACGGATAACTTTTCCCTTTTTCTTCCCTTCTGGATTGGACTTGACTCTGAATAAATATTGTATTATGATCTGTCCAAATAACAAAAGAGGGGTTCACCTATGAAGCTGCAACATAATGGCCTACTTCTAGGCCTTGCCTAAGCCTTCTAGTCGACTTTTTCTATTTTTGTAATTGTTTTTAATTTACATATTTCAATCATTCTTGTAGATTAATTGTTATTGATTTTATAGTTGTTCTTCGAAATATTGGGGAAGGGAGGCGAAACGATATTTTCGCCTCCTCTTAATTTTTATTGGGGAGACAATCGCCCCCCCGCCTCTTTCCCCTCCTCCCGAACTCTGCGCCGAACTAACGCTTATCTGGTCTGCAGTGAATTAGTTGAATGAACTTTTAAAAGAACTCTCTCATTTATATATAGAGAACAAATGGTTCCTAAAGAATAAATGGCATATAGAAAAATAAAGATTAATTCTCGACAGATTACTGTAAATGATTAACTCAAATAAAAATACATAAAAGTACATACAGTGTTATAAAAAATAATATGAGGAAAGGTGTAACAAAATGTTCACTACTAAAATAAAATAATTTAGAAAAAGAAAGTTAAATTAATCTTATGGGCAAACCATCTTAATCATAAAAAGAAAATGTGTCTCCTTTTCAATCTTGTTTTTCTTTTTATTCATCTTTGATTGAGTGGACGATAATGTGGATAAAATTATCGATATTCTATAAATATCCATATTGGTCAAAAATCATTATTTATTACTGATTTATACTATTATTTTCTTATATATTAGTTTTACAAAAGTACAGTTACGAAAAAAGATCAAATATAGAATTTCAAACTAACCAAAACACTTATGAACTTTGTTTTATAAATTAAATGTATTAACGTATAGGATGAAACCGTCTACCAACATAGATAGGGAGGGGGTTCTTCGTCGCCTATAAAATAAAACTGCTTTCATAGTTTCCTTAACTTTGGGAAACGAAGGACATCAGCTGAAGTCACAACATTCCGATGAGACGGTATTCTTGCACAAGTCTCAATGACGTTGTGGAGTATTCTCGTGAAAGTATCGATGACCGGCAAAACATTGTGTGGTCCTCAAAAGATGCGCACTGATAGTGCAAACGTCCATTTGCTGGACGACCGCCGGAGAGAGGAGGCGAAGAAGAATGAGATGGAGGCCGTCTGGAAACGAGCCAATGGGGCTATGTGATCGCTAGATGATAATGGGCTACATTTGCATACCTCGCAAAGTTGTCGACATCCGTTTTGCCCAAAGGCAAGAAAGGCGAATAAATAAATGTTAAATACTTAAACAATCACACAATGTTCTATTTTTTAAATTATAATACATATACATCTACAAAATATAACCATATGTTTTGAAAGAAAAATTAAAAAACTATTTCTAAAAGTTTTTTAGTCCCGGGCATGACGTTAAACTGCGACCTGGGTGGACAGGACTCATAGCCATAGTGAAGGCAACCTGTCTAGGGGAAGGCAACCCCAAAATCAAACCACTGTCCTTGCAGTTTAAAAAAGGTTGATCGTAGGGCCAGCACCCCTTCATCGGAAAAAATATTTCGCTTTCAAACCCAAAACAGAAAGAAAACCGGACGGATCTAATCGGCAACGACTTAAGGCGCGGAAACGGAACATGTTTTTTGGTACGTGGAATGTTCAAGGTTTGAGGACCAAGAAAAACGAAGTGGAAAATGAACTGAAAAAGCAAAATATCGATGTGGCAGCCCTCAGTGAAACTAAAATCAAAGGAAGTTGCAATGAACTTTCAGGAGACTTCGTGTATATCTACAGTGGAGTGGAAAAAAGTGAGAGAGCTAGAGCAGGGGTTGCAGTGGTGATTAACAAAAGATTGCGCAGGTATATTAAAAATTATGAATGTGTAAATGAAAGAATAATTAAACTTGAAATGGCATTGTTTGGAGAAGAGGTTGTTATTTTTGGGATCTATGCTCCAACTGAAGATTCCAAGCAATCCATAAAAGACACGTTTTTCGATGATATTTGCGACTTGATAGAGCGAACACCTGATCGTAAGATTGTTATCTGTTTGGGCGACTTCAACGGACGTGTTGGCAGCAAGTTCAACGATGAGACCGTGGGACGCTTTGGAGAAGAGGTAACTAACGATAACGGTGCAAGATTAATTAGTTTATGTGAGCAATTAAACATGAAAATATTAAATGGATTCTTCAAGCATAAAGAAATTCACAAATTCTCCTGGCACCAGCCCACTAAAGGTCTAAAATCAATCATAGATTATGTAATCCTCAGGCGCACTACTAGGATAAAGGTGAACGATGTTAGAGTGATGAGAGGGGCGGAATGTGGTTCGGATCACTTTCTTTTAAAGAGTATTCTGAATTTTAAACCCCATAATCTTCTTAGAAACTCTCCAGTGACCAGAGAAAATTCAGACTCTCCGAAAACGATTCGATACTCAATTGAGAGTATGAAAAATCAAGAATCAGTTAAAGGACTGTTCCAAAGCCGACTGATGGAGAAATTGAATCATGAGAAAGGTCTGAATGATCGGCTAAATTACGAAAATATAGTAAAGTGCCTGCATGCCGCAGCTTTAGAAGCTGTCGGAGAGGAAAGGAAAGAGGTTAGAGGAAAAAACAAGCCTTGGTGGAATGAGGATGCTGAAGTGGCTGTTCAAGAGAAAAAATATTTATACAATAAATGGTTGAGCTCTAAAAATGAGAAGGACCTGAGGGAATATAGAAATGCCTGTAAAAAAGTAAAAGCTATTAGAAGGAAAGCATTAAATATCTATTGGGAGAAAACCTGCAAGTATGTGGACACTTACATTGATGGACAAAAGTCTAGTGCTGCTTGGAGGACATTAAAAAAATTGAAAAATCCCAAAAGATGTGGAGATAACTTCCCATTGATCAAAGAGCAGCAATGGGTGAATTACTTTGAAGAATTATTTCATGAGGAACGACTTGAATTCGCATGGAACCAATCCGATGAAATGATCTCAAATAAGGAAGATATACCGCCAGTCACAATCATAGAACTGGATTCAGTTCTCAAAGGAATGAAAAATAGAAAATCTCCCGGCCCTGGTTCTATTCCAATTGAATTAATTAAAGCAGGCCCGACCGAACTCAAAATGGCACTGGCAGAAAGTATGACACTTCTGTTAAATGGTGGAGAGATCCCCGAAGAATGGAAACAGGGTTATATCACTCCAGTTTTCAAAAAAGGCCAAAAGAAAGACGTTTCCAACTACAGAGGTATTACTGTTACCAGCTCGCTGAGTAGATTATACGGCCGGATAATTAAAAGCAGAATTGAAAATGATTTAAAGGAAGAGATCAGCGAGGAACAGGCGGGTTTTCGAGCTGGAAGATCATGCACTGATCACATTTTTAGTCTCTCACAACTTATAGAAAAGAGGATGGCCCACGACCGTGAACTCCATATGATATTTGTAGATTTACACAAGGCCTATGATTCAGTACCTCTAGCGAAATTGTGGAAAGCTTTGGAAGCCACAACTATTAAGAGATACCTCATCAGAGCAATTCAAGAGGTCTATAAAAATATAAAGGGGGCTATAAAAATAGGAGATAGAGTGTCTAGAAGCTTCTTCATTGACAAAGGATTGAAACAGGGCTGCTGCCTTTCACCCCTGATTTTCAACATTTACATAGAACAAGTCCTTAAAAACTGGAAAAGATCGTGCTGTGGAATGGGTGTTCAAATCGGGAATGATGTCATCTACAATTTGCAGTATGCCGATGACCAAGTCATAATCGCATCGGATCCGGATGATGTTAGCTATATGATGAGGAAGTTGCTAGACACGTATTCCAGATGGGGTCTGAAAATCAGTGAAAGTAAAACAGAGTATATGGTTTTCAACGCTCCAAATTTGCCCCTTGAAATTGATGACTGGACGCTAAATGTCAGCCAGCAGTTCAAGTACCTCGGATACTGGTTATCTTCAAAGGGTGGTAGTGAGGTTGATATCGAACATAAAATAAATAATGGGAAAAGAATAATAAGTTCGATAAATTCAACCCTATGGAGTAAAGAAATAAGATTAGAAACTAAAAAGAAGATATACCATTCCTTTGTAGAAAGCGTAGCCACTTACGGATCAGAAGTCTGGACACTGACAAAAAAGTTGGAAAATAAGTTGCTTTCCATGGAAATGGATTTCTGGAGAAGAAGCTGTGGCATATCTAGAATCGAGCGGATTCCAAACGCAGCTATTAGAGACAAGGTCGGATGTCAAAAGAACATCCTTCACCTGATCGGGACCAAACGGCTAAAGTGGTATGGCCACTTAATGCGGATGGATGAGAACCGCTGGCCAAAGAAAATTTATAACTATATGCCACCTGAAAGAAGGAAGCGTGGAAGGCCAAAGAAGAAATGGACAGAGGACGTGGAGGAAAGCATGGCAGCCAGAGGGCTTCGTGAAGGAGATTGGATGGACAGGGAGCAGTGGCTTTTGGGTGTTGGGGATATGACTCCTTAAGTTGTATAAAACCCAAATAAAAAAAATAATAAAAAATTTCTAAAAGTATAATTGTTTGTGTAATTACATTTTTAATAGGACATCAAGAATCTCTCAAATGCCATTTCATATAGGTAGTTAGTTTCTTTATTTTTTTTTCCAATTAATTATCATTATATGTATTAAAAAAATCTCGGGCTGAAACCCCTCCAAAATTAAATCCTGGATCTGTTAGTGCCGACTATCCCCACTTCATGGATTACATGTGGAGATGTGAGGAAGTGGTGGGCCCTATGCACTTCATCCTGTCTAGAGGGCGCCCATCATAGGAGAGAGAAGTGGATGAACAGGAATCGGCGCCATGAAGATCAAGGTAACTGGATCAGCCGAAAGACAGCTAGGGATTAGAATAAAACAAGGCCAAGGATGATAGCCACAAGACAGTAAGGAGGACAAACAAGATACAGTCGCAAACAGATAATGCGCACTGGGCAGCTCTACAGGCTACCCAGTTTTATTGTTCCAAAAATCGTTATCCTTTACCATTTAGATTAATAATAAAGAACAAAGTGAGTTGCAGACTTTCTCACATACCATAGTAAATATTATGGCATGCTGTTTATTTTTCATGTTCTATCCCTCTATCATCAATAAGTACTTTAATAGGTTTCAATTCGAACAACTCTTTCTAAATCAGGCCTGTTATCCATTAAATATGTTTTTAATACAACTGTAGCCAATATTAACGTGGTAGAAGGTTAATTAATTCAGAAAGATAAAAACATAGGTAGCTGAATTAACAGAAGCCATCTTTGGTAACAACAATACGCACCGACACTGTTTTGGACTACTAACTACGTGAAACTGAGGGCCTGCTTTTCCTAGTCTAACTATTGCTTACACCATAGCAAGAGCATAAACGATTTTAAGAATTTTACTAGGGCATGTTTTAGATCACTAACTAATCATGGAAAGGATGGTTGATTACATTTATCATATTTTGAATGTTGTTTTTGTCCCACATCACCAGGCCAAACTGTCGTTGATAGATATAGTAGATATACCTAGTAAATCTGTTAAGTAGGAGTGGATCCATATATTTCTCTCCAGTTGACACAACGCTGACGTTACCATCCCAGAAGTTAGGCCTAAACGTCTCTAAGTCCTATTCCCGATTAGATACCGTTGGAGCCAGTGATCGAGAGGCTTAACGCAATGAAACTCTATTAGGTGGCCGTACCTTATTGTCTACGCCTTCTGTTGAAGTAGCGAATTTCCTGACTTGTCACCTCGCGTCCAGCTTCATAGAATTGTACTCGGGAGTACAGTTGTCATGCTGCTAGCTATGATGACCCAAACCTGGCTCAGAGGAATTCGCCTGGGGACAATCGGGAGGTAAATATTAAATTTGTGAGAAGACGAGTCGTTCCCGTATCCAGGACCGTGCCATAATCATTGATGAATCTCTCCCCCAATATGGTGTTATAATGGTGATTTGTCGTAACGTTTCATGCAATAGGGCAATAAATGAATTATATAATCACACTAGTGTAATAAACCAGCTGAAATACATTTAGAGATAGCTTTTCTGTAGGTGGTAGTTAGACCTAAGGGTCTTGTAGCCCAGGAATTTTTTCGATGGTGAAATTATCTCCAGGTTTAGATAGACTGAATTTTATTCTACTAATTTAATCAAAACCAAGCAGGTACTACCAAATAAACAAATATATATTCAATGGGGCGATCACACAGAAGCAGTTAAACAGTAGTATTCCGAATGGTTCTCGATAGTAGCAAGTGAAAACCCTCCATGAAGATTCACACTATTGGGTTGGCAAATAAGTCCTTTTGGTTTTTCAGGGTGAAATTAAACTTTATGTATTATAGACATCAAATTTATTTTAATCTAAAATATACTGACCATTATTTAATAGTTTAATAGTGTGCATGGAGTTTATTGTTAAAAAACTGATCCAAGTGGTTTTTTATTTCCTCTTTCTTTTGGAATTTTTTTCCATTCATGGAGTTCTGCAGAGACCGGAATAAGTGGTAGTCACTTGGAGCTGGTGAATAGGGGGAGTGGGGCAAAAGGTCCCAAGGCTCATAATTTATTGCGAGTGACCAATGAGGTGTAGGGCCTAGTGTTGTCATGGTGGAAAACAACACTCTTCCGATTTGCCAGTTCTTGGCGTTTATTTTTAATTGATTGATACAATTTTGTTAATTCGGGGCACTATAGATTTGAATCAATTGTTTATCCTGATAGCAACAGCTCATATCCCACCATATATGGAAAGCAATATCTTCTTTGGATGCAATCCGAGTTTCGACATTCTTCTAGGAACCTCACTACTAGGTCCCCAAGATGTTCTACGGACTACACTATCGTAAAATATACATTTTTCATCTCCTGTTACCAACTTTTTCAAAAATGGGTCGTTTTTTTTGCAGTTTTCTTAGTGAATCACAAGCAGAAATGCCAAGTTGACTTCGGTTAGTGAAGGACCCAAACATTAAGCATGAAAACATAGCCGAGCTTGTGAAAATGGTTTTCTACGCTCGTGTGCGACACATTTAGGGCCATAGCAAACTCTCGCACTGATTGGGTTGGATTTTGATCAACAATGACCTTAACAGTGCTCGTTTCAATTTCATGTGGGCCACCAGACCATTGAGCATCATTTATGTCAAAGTTTTCCAAATGAAATTCGGCAAACCAATTTTGAAAGGTGAGTTCGGTTAAGGCATCATCCCCACAAACACTGCTATTTTTTCTACGAGCTTCTGCAGCACGCTTAGCTTTTTAAAAATAATACAACCAAATATGCCGATATTTTCTTCCAAATTCACAGTGCGATAGCAAACACAATACTAAGCTATTTCAACAAGAGTTTACAGATATAGTTGTTGACATATTACAAACAGGATAAAGAATCCACCTTAGGGATGAATTCATCAGATAAGAAGTGTATCATAGTGACGTAAAAATAAACAGAAAAACCGAAAGGACTGATTTGCCAACCCAATACATGAGAATACTCCCTCACTCAACCTCCAGTAGAGGCCAGATCTAGGATTTTTGCTAGCAGGGGAAAGCTTAATTTCAATGCATTCCCTTACTTGTTTGAAATGTATACATTTCTGATGGGAGATATAGTTCTCAGAACTACATATATGATATTAACAATACTGGTCCCTACACCATGTCAATTATTCATATTAATGCAATTGTTAATTGTGCATTTAAAAATACTCAATCAATTGTTTTCTAAAAGCAAAAATAAAAAAAATAATTATAATTACATTATACTTCATAGTTTGTTGAAAAAACTAATTATATTAACAATTAGGCTCGGAAAAAAAAGTTTATAATTTTGTAGAAATTCAGGTTTATAATAGCTGATAAACTTAACATATCACAGGATCTGGTGAATGATTACTCAAATGTCTTCCCCCCCCCATCACCCTTGGACATTTGGGTATGTTAAGAAATTCATTAATGAAAATGCTAATGGTGTGTTATATTAAATAATATCAGCATTATTTTTTTTAAATCATATAATTAACCTAAACCTACAATAGCAAATTAAATATGTCATCAGTGATAAATTGATTTTAGTTTTAACTATCAAGTTGGAAGAAATGTTTATAATCTCTGCTAATGTCGAGTAGGTTAAATCACTTAACATAGATAGACTGTGTTTAGAATGTAGTGTCAAGTGTACTTTATTCGTGTTTAAAGATAAAAAAAGGATATATATATTTTTTTTTTTGTTTCCGAATAGTATATCAAAACAGAAATGGCAAGTTCTAGTACTGGTGATAAGACTGTCAATAAAGTGGCTTTATGCTCAGCTATATTTGCTGGATTTGCCTATGTTGGGTATTCAGTTGTAAGAACAGCTTTTTGCAGAAAATTAGGACGAAGGGAAGGCGAAGGTAAGATCCTAAATATGTTGTATTTTAAATATTATGTATATATTTGGTCCAAGTACATTTTTAAAATTGGCAGATTTACAAGTTTGCAAAATTTTAATGTAATATTGCATATCATTGTGTATGTATTAAAATTTAATTCAAATAGTTCAATACAATCCTTCTATTTTACTAAAATATGTTTTCAAGTAAGATTACAACTTGTATGGTTATCAAATTGCTAGTACTTTTTCCTTCCTTTCACTTTTGAATGGATTATTAATTACTGACATTAATGAGGAACTATTGATACATATTTTTATATTTAATGATGCTATATACTAAAGGTTAGTCTTTTTAAGTGATTAATGTCGGAGTCTGATGAAATGTTTGATATAGTGAAGCATTGATTTATTGACATTACCTATACAAATTTAAATCATTAGCAATACTTTTATATGATTATTAGAACATTTCGTTTAAGATATATGTGAAGTTCTGCCAATTATAACTTAATTGGTCGAATGCAATCACACAGCCTTGTTTCTTTTTTATACCATTTTTGGATAACAAGAGTATGTGTTAAGATATCAGGGGGTGTCCTGATGACGCCTAAGTTGGTAAAACGTTGATGGGTCAGTTTGTTTTTATCTCAAATATAGAGCCAGGCTGTACGTTCAGATTTTTCTTTTGATATAACTTAACAACTAGTTGCTGTCTGTTTTTGAGTTTTTTTACTCGTTTATACTAATATATGTGAAGTTTTCAAGTGAAGCTGGATTACATGTGTTCTTATATGGAAACATAATACCTATTTATGTTATTATTGCTTTAGCAAATATTATATTTAAAGTTTCTTACATTATTTACTATCAAATAGACTTTTATTAAATTTTAATTTTGATCAAGTCGATACAAGTTGTTTAATCATTAATGCAATTGGTTCACAATTTATGATAGAACCGGTTAGTACTATAGTCATTGCCCACAGTTATCAAAGTATTACAGATTCAATAAAAAGTTGTTAACAAACAAAAAAAAGCACTTGTTAATGAGTATTGTCTTGACATAATGGAAAGGTTCTAGATCAGTTCATATGATCACACTATTGATGGAATTCGAAGAATGGTCAAGTATTGACATCATGTTCACTAGTGTAACCTTCCTTTATGTAGATTGCGATTTAGCATTTCAGCAAACTCCCAATGTGTCATTTTCAGCTAATGTTAGAGTCTTTATTTGATAGCTATTATGTATGGGTTTGCCTATTGGCTAATTTATCCATGCATGAAGAAAAAAAAAGATAGCTAGTACTCACTTCAACTCGCTAAGCTCCTTCTAAAGTATAAACAAACTTCCGAGTCTTTTTCATTTGAGGTTAGGGCTCTACCAGATAGTTTAGTCATCTTTTCTACTGTCATGCACTCATGACTATTTTCCAAATTCCATATACAGTGGGATCATAAGTTTCTGTACCCACTATGATGGAGGAACACTTATGAGTAGTACTAAAAAATGTATCATAATGTATTCTTTGACTTCTTAAGGCTTTCTTAAGGCACAACCCCATGATAAGAACATGATATGTCCAAGCGATACATTACCCTTTGTCGGTATCCCTGCAGATTATTGTGCTCTGTGTAACTGCTATAAATGCAGTAGATAGTAATACAACTATATCACCATATTACCGCTGACGGGAATATTCTTTAGCAGAGATATATGATGTAATGTTATCAATCTATGTAGTTGGTAATTATCTGATATTTAATTTTTCTTTTGATTATTTATTCCATTAAAAAGTTTTATATGTTTATAATAAGAGCACTACTTTACAAGTTTCACTCCAACTTAATGGAAAGACATATTATCACATAGTTTGTAGAATGCCGAAGTTATCCTAGTGTATCGTGTCTTTTGACAGATTAGGTGGGTTAGATTTTCAACACAAACACCCAAATGAAGCAGACTAACTGAATTGTTCGGGAGATATGTTAGTCAGTAGTTTACCACCTTCTCTATAAGTATCTGCATTTGACTTAAATGGTTTTCTTCTACAATTAACTAACTGATAAAATGTTCTTATATCATTCTAGTTTCTAAGATGTTCGAACTTTACCTCTTTTGCCTCCTCCCTCTTTCCTTTATTTTTTCAGATGAAGCCATAATTCTGCCAGATTCAGATTCACAACCCCCAAAAATATGGAGAACAATAATAAACCGAACTACTGTAATATTTTTTAATCAATCTATTGGGTTTTCCAGAAAATAATACAGGATTTTGAGTTTTCTTGAAAATACCGCTCTATATAACAAACTGTTTACATTTACTGTATTATTCATTTATATAAATGTCAAAACTTATTAATCCTCTTCCAAGCAATACTGTTTGTTTACCTCTGTAGCATTTCGCTGCTTAGAAATAATTCAGTCTTTACCAAGATTTCAATGTGGAATTTTCGTATAATTTTGTTTTATGAGTTTAAACTCGGCCAGGATGGAGCCCTGATAGCCAGAAATATCAATCAAGTCTGGGGCAAGCATTAATGAGTGCTCTGAAACTTCGGAATGGAGACTTCAGCTTTGAAGACAAAGAAGGTCAGGGAAGGACTTCCTCTCTTGATGACGATGTTCTGCAGGCTTTACTGGGAAACTTAACCTTGTCAAATCGACTGTTGATGACCACCTCAAGGCGATTGGAAAGGTAAAAAAGCTTGAAAGTTGGATTCCACACACATTAAACGACCGCCAAAAGAAAACAGCATTATGAAGTTTGTGATACACTTATTTGCCGAAACAAAAATGACCCTTTTCTGTTCAGAATTGTTACTTGCAATGAAAATTGGATACTTTTACGATAACAATAGACGTTCTGGGCAGTGGCTCAACAATGGAGAAGCAGCAGAACATTTTCCAAAGCCCCTAACTCATCATAAAAAGGTGATGGTTACAGTTTGGTTTGACACACTACAGCTTCTTAAATCCTGGAGAAACCATCAATGCCGAATCGTAATGTAACCAAATTAATGCAATGCATTAGAAATTAACAATTATGAAACTATCTTTGGTCAATCGTAAGGGGCCCATTTTGTTGCATGACAACGCCCAGCCACATGTCTCCACGTGTGACATCACTAAAACTAACTGCCACATCCGCCCTACCTTCCGAACTTCTCGTCTGTGGATTATAATTTTTTTACACACCTGGACCACTACTTATGTGAAAAAAAAAATTTAATCTACAAAGGTGTTAATAAAATGCGTTTTTGGAGTTTATAAATTCTAAAGATGGGAAGTTCTATTCTGAGGGAATGGAAAAGTTGCCAACACGTTTGCAGAAATGTATTGATAGGAGTGGAGACTATTTCAATTAAATAAAACAGTTATAAATATTTCTTTTTAAACCAAAATCGTGCATTGTTTTCTGGACAATTCGATAATATTTGATCGGTAGTCTCAATAGTATTCCAAAACTTTTTTTTCATCTTAAATTTTGGTATATCATAGTTTTTTAGCCGCTGAACACAAATCTGAGGTTTACTGATAGAAATTTGTCCAGAACCTTGTTTGTTTTTTTTCCAAAAATAACCTGCTCAGCTATCCCAGCTTGCTTATGTATCTATGTGTAGTGAGGTCATTCCTAGAGGGATATTGATCCTCTGGACATAAATGAAAACAAAAGCTCTTAAGTCTTTAGAAATAACAAGATCTCAGGAGAAGATTGTTTATTCTTCGAAGTTATAAAGTAGAGGAGGGGGGAAGAAGTTTAGAAATTCATAAGCGATCTCAACATATATATTAGGCAAAGTGAGTGCATTACAGATGATTGGTATAGAACAGGGGCTCTCAATGTTGGGTCTGTAGGAGCTTATTGGTTATGTATTGAAATAATGATATTTATTGCTCAGGTGCATTTCTGGACATAACTCAAGCTTTTGACTGGGTATGGCATGCCTGGCTTCTTACCAAGCTGAAAACCCATCTACCCCAGTCCTTGTACCTAATCCTCCACTCCTACCTCTCTGATCGCACCTTTCGAGTTCACTGAGGTACAGAATTTTCCAATTCCTACTCAGTTGAAGCTGGTTTTTCTCAAGGTAGCGTCTTGGGCCCCTTCCTCTATATGCTTTTTACCACTGATATCTCTGTCCATCCCGATACCTTCCTGGCAACATTTGCTGATGACACCGCCATCCTCTCATCCAACTCAGATCCCGAAATAGCATCTTTAAATCTGCAAAGGCACCTCTCCGGCATTGAGCACTGGTGTAATAAATGGTGCATCAAAGTAAACGAATCCAAATGCAAACGCATTACCTTCACGCTCCGGCACAGATATTATCCACCAGTCCGCTTTAATTCCATCCAGCTTCCTTTTTCAGACACAGTCCGGTATCTTGGCTTTCTCTTAGACCGAACACTAACGTGAAACCCACATGCTAGACTGAAAAGACAAGAACTTTACCGACAATACGACAAATTATACAGACTACTGACTATAAAATCTCAACTTTTAATTGACAACAAATTACTGATCTACAAGACAATCCTAAAACCTATTTGGACCTACGGACATGAACTTTGGGGAACAGCAAAATTTTCTAACATCAAACGCATCCAATCCTTTCAGTCCAAAGTCCTCTCAACAATAGTCGATTCTCCATTCTATGTAACCAACAAAACCCTACATCATGATCTTAATATCCCATTTGTCCTTGACCTTATCCCTGAAAATTTTTCAAAATTCCATCAGAACCATATAAATCATCCAAATCCTCTTGCTCAATCTCTATCTAGTTCCACTCATCCCAATCCCAATCCTCCTTGAAGGTCGAAGCAGCAGTGGCCCGAAGATGTTTTGTAGCATATGTCTTGCAGTTCTGGCAATGGCCAGATTCTCCACTCAAGACATAAGTTTTTGTGGCTAAAGCGCTCTTGCTCATACTCCACTGGCTTTAGCACCAGTGGCGTGGTTGAGAGAGTAGTGCAATGATCTCTTGGGGTTCTGATTTTCCTTCTATAGTTGAAGGAAGAAGCCTGGCATGGGGTTTCCTTCCTGATTTTATATATTGTATATAGGTATGGCTGTATTTTATGTTTTGAATTTACTTATCTTTAGGTTATTTTGTTTTTTATTGTACATAGTTTTTGATTATTATTTTAATTTTTTTAATTTTATGTTTTCTATATATATGGTGTAAATGTGTTCATATATCACTATAATTATTGTCCATGTGACAGATTGTTATATTCCTAAATAAATAAATAAAATAAAAATAACTGAATTAGCCAAATTGACTTTTCATTTTTGTTTGTCCTCCTCTTCCTCGCCTTTTAGGCAATACGGGGGTTTTCCCAGACCAGAAGATAAGGACAGGAGATTAATGCCAGAGTTTAAAGACCCCCTCGGCACCGGGAGGCGAACTCAGAATTATTTTAATCAAATTATCTCATATATCAGGTTGACGGGCAACGGCGGTGCTTTGCAAACGCGTTAGCCCGCTCGCCCACCCCGCCCCATAAATAATTTTTCTGGCATGAGCAGGGATCCGAACCTGGAACCCTGAGCATTGGAAGATCAGTACCCTACCACTGAGCTTCCCCATTCCTTAATACTTTTCTGACTTGAATAATATAGTTTGCACGATTTAATAATTCACTTGACTTAGTTTAAAGTGTCATTGTGCAAAAGTAATGCAACCTCTTCCTCCCCCCATGCGGGGGGAGTGTACCCCCTCTTTAGATTTCGATTGGTACTAAGTTATGCGCCAAGTTTCATAATTGCACAAATTTTATTATTTTAGTACATTTGGGGCTGTTTTTCTTATACTAAAAAGTTCACATTTAATGTTTAGATGGTATTAACTTTAAGTGATTCTAACAGTTTTCAATATTACCTTGCATCCCACTTCATTGGAAATCAACTTTAACAGCAAACTATAAAATCTCATAGTGGTATATCAGATGGGCCACTATCCATTCCATAACCTCACATGTCATTGAGTGAACATACTGTGCTCCGAGGGCTACTTAGTAGGAATGTCACTAAATGTTAGACAAAAATTTATTCAAGGCCCAGAGCATTGAAGGTTTAAGATAAAATTATTTCAAAATTATACGTTGAAATGTTTTTAAAATAATAATGGTGATGATAATGACCAACAAATTGTATTCACCAGACTAAAAATCTTTGTTTTTTACTGACAAAGCTATGCTGAGCTGATCGTTGTTTAAGTTTTTTTAACAAAAAATTCCTTCCTAATTTATCATAAGAAACATTTTGGTATGGGACGATTGTTTTTCTAAGATATATCAAATTTTGGAAAGTTTTCAGCTTTCTTTTCATTATTTAATTGATAAACACAGTATGTTTAGTAAAAACCAATTAAGACATAAAACATTATGTATAAAGATTTCAATTTGTTTAAAAATTGGTTCCATACTTAAAAACGATATTATTTTTCACATTACAAATTCTTAAAATCTGGGAATCATAACATATTAAAAATAAGTGAGTATATACTTTTGCCCCACTACTACTAAAAACTAATCATTTTTAATTATCACAATATTGCATATTTACAAATGAGGTAAATTCGCACATATCTTCTTTATTTATTTATTATTAGAAGTGACCATCAATAATTGGCACCAATTCTTAGTTGGTCAATATACATTTTTAAAGAAATATGTTTACATATATAAATAAAGATTTCTTCACATTTCCACTTAACCAAATTCTACATTGCATTTGTAAAAAAAAATATTTTAATCTTCTTGATCTTCTCTGTATTTATGGTTTTAGAAATTTTGTGTTTCTTAATATTACATAATTTGATTTTACTCTTATATGTATTTTAATGATTTTATTAGAATTTTTTTTTATTTTTGAATGAATTAAAGGTGATTTTTTTTTTTTTTTTATGAGCTCTAACAATGATGACCAAATGAATTTAAACTAGTCATTTATTAACGTGTTCTCTCTATTTATACTGTATAACTAAGTATTTTAATTTTCTTCTCAGTTTACCAAGACGAACATCGCCTTTACTTCAGAAGATTGTCACAAACAACGCAAACTGATGTTTTATTGGGTAATCTTGATATGTCTGGTTCAGGCAAAGTTATTTTGAGGCCTATGACAGTTCAAGAAAGAATCCGAGAATTGAATCTTCAAGCAAGGTTGTTCACAGACACAATGCTTGCCATTCAAGCAACATCTGGCCATTCTCCTCGCCATGTGCCTGGGCATAGAAGTCTTCAGGTAATTGAACAATAATCTTAACCTTAACCAGACAATAACATTATTTGAATGCTATGTTATTAATTTATATATTTATTATTATTATTATTGAAGTGCATATTCTTCTGATTCTGATCTAATCAGAACTCTAAGGAAAAAAGAATAATTTTAGAATCATTAGGTTAGCATAGGTCAACTAATTTTTATTCTCTAAATACAGTTGAATCGATGTATAGAAAGATTGCTGTTTTTATTGTTGTCATACTAAAAATAATTACTATTATTTCTTGCAAGAAAAATAAAGTAAAGTTTTCAATTTTCTCCAAACTTTCAAACTTCTTAACATCTATATCGTTGTTTTTGTTAGTTTTTATACCATTTTTGTCATTTGTCTTTATAATTTATTGCCACATCCTTATTTCTCATCTTATATCTTTATTAAGTTGAGCTTTACATTTGATGATTTTTGTTTTGGAGCTATGCCAAGAAAGGCAAAGTTAAACTGAATTTAAAATGAAAATTTCACTTTATATCAGGAAAGTGAATCAGAGGAACTCCTATTATTGCCTATTCGTATGGGCATAAACTGAAAGCCATTGATGCTAATGATTTCATTCTATGTTTTCTAAAATACGATGTTTAGTTCAATGTATATAAATTTTATTTCATATACAGAAATTTTTTTCTAATAAAATTTCAAGGATCATAAAAAAAAGTTTGGTGTACTGAGATATTCAAGTCAGAGGGAGAGATAAGTTCAATATTCAGGGCTCGCCTTTATATGCTGTAAAATTTCTTCTTATAGGACACTTACAAGGAATCAAATGTCTGCTATAGAAAAATATTTTTACTTTCACTTACCTATATATGTAATATATAGAAATAGTAAGTATTGCGATTGTGAAAATTTCTGAATCTGAATTTTCAATGGAAATACAAGTTTTGAGGTCCCCTGAGTCCAAATAACCAAGTCCCACAAAATGGTCTGTGTGAGGGTATGTGTGTGTGTGTATGTATGTATGTATGTATGTATGTATGTATGTATGTATGTGAACAGCCTAGCTCAAAAACAAAAAGTCATATGAAACTGAAATTGTGTATTTAAGGTTTTTATAAGTCTGGGATGTTACAGCAACATTTACGTCAAAATCAGTAAACTGGAAGTGGTACTTTATGTAACCAATTTAACACATTTTTACAATTTTCTCAAAAACGATTTTGATTAAACTCAGTATATCTGTGTATTGTTAAGCAGTTTTTAATATTATATAGGTCTTATTCTCATTGATGTTCTCTAACAGGGTTCTAATGGCTAATTTTCAATATTAGCTTCCTTTAAAGTACTTTTAATTTTTTCTATTTGAAATAATTAACATTTCACATTAATCTTTGATACAAAAAATAGTTAAATATAAAATATGAAAGAATTTAACTAAAGGATAAATAAGAGATCGTAACGGATAATAGTTGTAATGGAAGAACCAAAGGAAATGACCGCAGCCAAGTTCACCCGAACAGGTTCCCATACGTAACATGAGCTAATTATAATACGGACTCCGACAATATTATGTACATATACATATTTAGTTTTCATTAATGCTATCATTGGTATTATTTAATATTTAATTGTATAGAATACAGCGATATAAAAATTAAAATTTGTCTATATAAGAGTATTTAAACAAATAAAAATACCCACAATGAAATGTAAATAAGTATAACGTTCATAATTTTTACTATCACTCCCCCTTTGTCTGAAAATGCTCATTTCTGCCAAGAAGAGGGTGGTAAGTGAAAGTCATGTGATGCGCTCACCTGATTTTTTATACTGAAACTAGAAGGAAAAAAATATAAGAAAATTAAAATTGGCAGGTTAAAATCCATTTAAATAACATTTTTGTTTTTAAATTTATTATTTAAACACATTTTTTTTTTTTTCACGGAACGGCCATAGAGACCATGCGGATATCATGACATTTGGCTTCTTTCTTGTTTTTCCTTTCTTTCCACTTCTCTCTCATTATCTCCGCGTGCCGCCGCTTTCTCTCCTCTCCACGCGACTCCCTTTCTCGAACTTTTCTTCTTAGCAAGAACCGTGATCTCCTTTAGTCTCTTACCATACCCCTCTCTGTCCAGACAGTCCCGGTCCGTTATTCCAAGTCTTTCCGTTTCTTCCTTCATCTGCTTGATGTATCCTCCCAAGCTTTTGTATCTACGGATTTTTTGGAATATTTCCTTGTTAAGTCTTTCTGGGACCATTCTTACCATATGTCCGTGGAATTTCAGTCTCCTGATCCTTATTTCCGTTTCTAGATCTCTTTTGTCCTTGTATATTTCCTGATTGGATCTTAGCCTGTATCCTTCTTTTGTCTTTTTGGGGCCGTAAATCCTTCTTAGAATTCTTCGCTCTATTCTCAACAATTTTTCCAGACTGGGGAGGCATGTGGTTTCCGTCCCATATAGTATCACAGGTTTAACAACTGTATTGTAGTGTCGTAGTTTTGCTTCTGTGGACAGGTTTCTCTTGTTATATATGTTACTGGTTGCAAAAGTTAGTTTTTCCAACACATTTTTATTATAAATTATATATTTTTTGTATGAGTGCACTAATGAGTAATGATAAAAGTACTCATATAAAACATTATGTTGTTTACCAAAACCAAAATTAAAGGTTTAAATTATTAATGGTAATAATAAAATAAAGTTCCAAACAACAATATTGAAATATATATATTAACCTATATTTTTTATTTGAAATTTATTGTTTCATTGCCCACAATAATAAAATTAACTTATATTTTTCAAAATTACCTTGAAGGAACAAAATCAGTGGTACTCTTTCTGTACAATATATATGTTTATACAATTTTATAATTATATCTAAAGAACCAATCTCAGCTTATATTAATTCATAGGAAATAATGTGAAGTGTTTAAAATTTATGGAGACATCCAGTATGTTTCTTTTTTATGTAAACAGTTTATAATATACAGGATTAAACTTCAGGAAATCTAAAATCCTTAATTATTTTCCAAATAGTCTATTATATTTTATGAAAGTAAACAATTTTCTCATCTCATCTATTTAATTTCAGTGCTCTCCATGGAGTTCACCCCGAATCTTATCACCTGTAGATATGAGACATATTCTTACAAGTCGTTCTTCAGAAAATTTGCTTACTGTTAAATGTGGTGAGGCTGTATTATCATCTCCTAAAAGCAAAAAAGGAACTCGACGGTCTTTGAAATCAAGGGCTCAGTCACACAGCCCTGAATCTCAAGTTGATTCTTGTGAACTTGAACTATTAAAAGAAAAAGAGCAGCAACTGAAATTAAATCTAGACAAAATATCTTTAGCACAGAGGTAATATTAAATTAAAATGTCTTTATTTAAAAAAATAGAAATGTATGATCGTGGAGGAGATAATTTATTCATTCTCTGTCATTGAAAGTACCAAGTATTAATTATTTGTTACATTCAAGAACATTTAATTTTTATTTACTGTTTCACTGCTGATGAATCAGGTTCTGTGAGTTAATCCACAACATGATAGGTACCAGTTACTGCTTTCTGGTGACATTTGAGTCCGCTGGATCTGGTAACATTATTTGCCAACTTTTTATGAGAAAAAAAATCTTAGGTGATAAATAGTCAGGACACAGTCATTTTAAGCTTTTTATTGGTGCCAACATTTCAACCCTAACATGTGGGGGTCATCATCAGGGCGTGTTTGGAGCACTGAAGGAGTTCAAATACTTAGGGCTATATAGGAGTATGATGACCAACATGCTTGGGTTGAAATGTCCGTACCAATAAAAACCTTTAAAATGACTTCATCATGACTATTTTTCACCTATGATATGTAGAACAGTCGACTAACTTCCATTAAAAAAATCTTATTTATTGCTGTACTTAGTTATTTACTTTTCTGGACAAAATAGTATACAAAAAAACAAAACAAAATAGAATACTTGTGATTGTAATATATAAGTTTTATATAAAATTTTATACTGAATAACATTTTTATGACTTATTTGATTAATCTAGTATTATTTAATGAATGGTGATGGTTTAAGAATCGTTCTTTTCTTTTCTTTCTGTTGTCAAAGCCTGCACATTTGTCAATTGTATCTGACTTGCATTAAAAATATCATTCACATTTGCTGAAAATTTAGTCATTCTGTTAAATATTATTTCTTGTATCTGATCCTGCTTTTACTGGATCTTTAGAATGGTATGTCAAAATTAGTTTAAGGTACACATATAAATTGTTTATAAAGTGATATTTATGACAAATGATATTAATGAATAAATGTAAAAGGGAAAATTTGCTTAAAACCAATTTTTTGGAAAATTAAAAAAAAAAATTGTTTTTAATCATAATAGTTAAATATAGTTATGTTTTCCAAAAAAACATATGATTTTTGGATTGACAGAGTATAGCAATTGTGAAGTTTTTTTGAATGAAAATAAAACTTTACACTACAATTTTCAAAAAGTAAAAATCAAAAACTCTGGACAATTCCTCTTTTGGCATCCATTAGTTCATATATTTGATTCTTAAATGTTTTTCCAAATGATTAAATCATTAGTTTTTGTATGGAATTTTACTTTTACAATTATAAAGTTTAATTTGTTGAATCGTTTGTTTGTTATAGAGAGATACCTCGCCATGATGCTAAGAGCTTGGTGATTCTTTTACAGAGCAATGATACTGCTTTGTTGGAACGAACTTTGACAACTATCAGTAATGGTGCTACTATCCCTGCCAATCAAGTAATTTTCAATATGTTTTTTTACGGCTTAATTGTTGCTATTATATCTATTTTTATTGTAGAATATTAGAATAAAACATACCACTTGTGATAAACTCATGATGAAATAAAAATGCTTAATCTTTTTTATATACTAATTAAAGTATATGTTCAAATTAATCTTTATATAATCCATGAATAAGATCCATGTGGATCTTGGCCTGGAAGACTTTTCTGTCTCTCAATTTCATAAATCATTAAATTTTAGGTAACTTTAAGGGAAGTTGGTTGCCTACTTAGAGTTCAGAGACTATTGACTCATTCTAAACAATCAGTTCAGATAGCAGCTGTTACTGCTCTTGGAAATCTTTCATTGAACAAAGATAATCAAAAAGAATTAAAGGTATATATTTATTTGAATTTATATTTAATTAAATTTTAAGTATGATATGAATATACTATGGGATATGTGTGCTCCTGAAATGATGAGTAATTTAGGCTTCCTAAATTTTAGAAAACTTCCAAGTTGGAAGTATTGGCTGCTTTTCTTGAGAAAATGGCTGAACCCTTTAAATCTTTTTTCTGTTGTTTTTAGAGCCCCATAAACATTTTATGCTATATCAATCTGATATCCCATTTCTTGAAACAAAATTTGTGGAGTATCAAACACACAGATATTTGTTCACTTTTCTTTTAAGAAATGGCTTATCTTATTAAGACCAAACTTTAAATTATTATTTAGAGCTTTAAAAAGGTTTTTAGCAACATTAAATTGTTATATATAATCTTGAGACCAAATCGCTGACTTCTATTTAATTTTAATTATGAAAAAATCAAATCAGTTAGGGTATGTCATTTCTTTTAATTGCATTGTTCTGAAAATAAGCTTTACAGAAATTAATGTTGATGCCTTTGGATTTCATGCCAAATCTTATCTCATTATTCTACATTAATAAATAACCTATCCTTGTCATATAACTTGCTACCACTTCATAAGTGTATAAATCATATTAAAACTTGTCCATCTAAAATGAAACAATTACTATGTTATGGGTATTATAATTATGCTGACTATTCATGCTACTCCTATTATAACTAAAATACAATAAACAATAAAATTCAATGCACTAAAACTTTTTATTATCTAAAATTGCAATATTAACGCATATTGTAAGAGAAGAATAAACTAAAAAAAAATTGTAAAAGAAGTTTTGTTTTTTAAAAACACAAAATATTGTTGATTCCTAAAAGTAAAAATTTTATCAAATTAAATTCTTCTTTTAAGTGTCTATTGTAATTTTTCAGCTATGGTAACATTATTAAAAATCTACCACAAAACTCATTGAAATTTTAGCATTTAAAAAATGTTTGTGTATTGCTTACAGTGATGGAAATAAGTATTGGCACGTCATGTTTTTTATGAATAAATGAGTTTAAGGAACCAAAAAACTTCGCTTTCCTCTGCAAAAATGAAAAGTACATTTGTTAAAAACTGAGAAAAACCTTTGAAACAAAATGACAACACTCCATAATGAAACAAAAAAATTATAGCATTTCCAAGTCAATTTCAACCTTTTCCAAGTCAAATTCAACCTTTTCCAAATCAAATTAAACTTTTTCCAAGTCAAATTCAACCTTTTCCATTTCAAATTCAACCTTTTTTTTATTTATTTAATTATCTTTAATTTTTCGATGTGTGGGTCTGTTATCGTGTGAGTAATTTTTTAAAATAACCTCCATTTTAAGATTACGTGACTGCGTTTTGAATTATTTAAGTTTTTTTTACTTATTCGATATAAGGGTGTATTTTTATGTTTCCCGATCAGTAAATTTTGAAAATGACATCCATTTTATGTTTACGCCACTGTGTTTTGATTTATTTAAGTTTTTAGAATTTATCCAATATAAAGGTCTACTTTTATGTTTCTGGAGCCTTAGATTTTGAAAACGACCTCCATTTTAAGATTAGGCCACCTCGTTTCGACTTATTTGAGTTTTTCGGATATTTTTCATATGAGGGTGTATTTTTATGTTTCCGGAGCTGTAGATTTTGAAAAGACCTCCATTTTATGATTTCGCCGCTTTGTTTTGACTTATTTAAGTAATTCGAATTTATCCAATTTAAAGGTCTGCTTTTATGTTTTCGGAACCGTACATTCTGAAAATGACCTCTATTTTATGATTAAGCTAGTGCGTTTCAACTTATTTAAGTTTTTTTGGAATTTAACAAGTATAAAGATCTAATTTTATGTTTCTGGAGCAGATTTCCCCCATTTTGTAAATGACCCAATTTCAAGTTTATGCCACTGTGTTTTGAATTATAAAAGTTTTTTTTTTTACTTTTTCGGTATAAGGATCTACTTATATGTTATCGGAGACGTATTGACATTTTCATAATCTTTAATATTCAAATTTATCTAACGTTAAACGCGGTCGCCTAATCTTAAAATGGAGGTCTTTTCAAAATCTACAGCTCCGGAAACATAAAAATACACCCTCATATGAAAAATATCCGAAAAACTCAAATAAGTCGAAACGAGGTGGCCTAATCTTAAAATGGAGGTCGTTTTCAAAATCTAAGGCTCCAGAAACATAAAAGTAGACCTTTATATTGGATAAGTTCTAAAAACTTAAATAAATCAAAACACAGTGGCGTAAACATAAAATGGATGTCATTTTCAAAATTTACTGATCGGGAAACATAAAAATACACCCTTATATCGAATAAGTAAAAAAAACTTAAATAATTCAAAACGCAGTCACGTAATCTTAAAATGGAGGTTATTTTAAAAAATTACTCACACGATAACAGACCCACACATCGAAAAATTAAAGATAATTAAATAAATAAAAAAAAGGTTGAATTTGAAATGGAAAAGGTTGAATTTGACTTGGAAAAAGTTTAATTTGATTTGGAAAAGGTTGAATTTGACTTGGAAAAGGTTGAAATTGACTTGGAAATGCTATAATTTTTTTGTTTCATTATGGAGTGTTGTCATTTTGTTTCAAAGGTTTTTCTCAGTTTTAACAAATGTACTTTTCATTTTTGCATGATTTTAATCTTAAAATGGAGGTTATTTTCAAAACTGGGTACAGGACAGCATAATACTAGTCCCTAATAAATCCGAATAGGTACAATAAATCGATATCCGTAAGTGAAAATTCTACTTAGGAGAGCATAATAATAGACTTTCATATTGGAGGGGGGAGGGGATGGCCATTATTTAAAAAAAAAATATAAAATTTACAAAAAATTAAAACATTAATTTGAAATGAAAACGGTTGAATTTGAATCGGAAAAGGTTTAATTTGAAATGGAAATGGTTGAATTTGACTTGGAAAAAGTTTAATTTGATCTGGAAAAGGTTGAATTTGACTTGGAAATAATTGAATATGACATAGAAATATCAAACTGAAAAAATCTAAAATGTTAAAATAAATGGATATGCAATCGCGTTATCAAAATTGTTTTTGTATTTTTCAAAAGCTGTGCCTTCGATAATATAGTAAGTGGCCTTCCTTTCGAAAAAATCGAAAATTGACAAAAATTCGAAAGTTGAATTTGAAATGGAAAAGGTTGAATTTGACTTGGAAAAGGTTGAATTTGAAATGGAAAAGGTTGAATTTGACTTGGAAAAAGTTGAATTTGATTTGGAAAAGGTTGAAATTGACTTGGAAATGCTATAAAACAATAAAAGTGCTTGGAAAAAAGTATTTGCACACTATGACTCACAAGCTCTGTTTACTTTGGCATTAATCTTCCTGTGTCCATAGGTCATAGGTTTGTTTACTAATTTATCTCTAATCGTTTATTACCAGTATTCTCTAGTCTTTCAATCAGTTTCCTTTAGTCAATAGACAATTATCATGCCAATGACAAGTGAACTGTGTGCCACAACTTGCGAAAAAATTGTTTTACTGAGGAGTCAGCAAAAAACATATCGCCAAATTGCCGATTTCTTAGGGTTGAATTTTTCTACAGTGATATACGTCATAAAAAGGTATGAAGAACATGGTTCAACTGAAAACAGTGAGCGTAAAGGGCCTTCAAAAAAGTTAACTCCAAGGCTGAAGAGTAAAATCAGAAAAGAAGCTCTTAAAAATCCTCTGATAAGTTCTCGGAAGCTGGCTACCATGGTCCAATCAACGCCTGGAGTTCAGATTACTAGCAGAACAATTAGATATGCCCTGAATTTGGAAGGACTCCATGGTAGAGTTCCAAGAAAGAAGCCATACATCAGTGAAACGAATCGCAAAAAGCGCCTTGCTTTTGCTAGGGAGTACGTACTGAAATCCTTTTGGGAAAATGTCATCTTTTCTAACGAAAGAAAATTTAATTTGTTTGGTTCAGATGGTCGAAGGACGATATGGCGACATCGTAATGAAGCCCTAAAGAAGCAAAATGTTTTAACAACTGTAAAGTATGGTGGAGGACATGTTATGGTTTGGGGCTGTTCCTACCATGGCGTGGGAAATCTTGTGAGCATCGAAGGCATTTTAAATGAGGAAGGCTATGTGAACATTTTGCGCCGTAATTTTTGTGTTAGTGCCGAAAAAATAGGAATCCAGGATCAGTACTATTTCCAGCAGGACAACGATCCAAAACATACTGCAAGAAGAACAAAGGAGTGGTTAATATTTAATGTTCCAAGACAGCTCTGCACTCCTCCTCAGTCATCAGTTATAAATATCATTGAAAATTTATGGCACACCCTTGACCAAAATGTAAGAAAACACCATATCACTAGTGGACATCACCTTAAACAACTTCTTGTTCAAGAATGGGAACAAATAAACGTAGATTTAATTAAAAACCTAGTGTGTTCAATGCCCAGACGTCTACAAGCAATTATTGACGCAAATGGCCTATTTACAAAATATTAAAACTATTAAAATTTAAAATAAACTTGTAAATGTGGAAGTGTGCAAATACTTTTTTCCAAGCACTTTTATTGTTTTGATTATGAAGTGTTTTTATTTTTTTGTAAAAAGATTTTTTCAGTTTTTAATAAATTAACTTTTCATTTTTGCAAAGGAAAGCAAAGTTTTTTTGTTTCCTTGAACTACTTTATTCATAAAAACGTGTTGTGCAAATACTTTTTTCCATCACTGTACATATAATATGTAGAAATCCATTCATTCTAATTAGTAGATATGTAATATAAATGTTTTGAATTGTCTGAACATTCAAATTCTGCAAAATAGTTAATAATAGAGGTAAGATATATTTAATTAGCAAGAAATCCCTGTTATTTTATGAATTTATTGTTTATTGAACTCAAGGCACATGGGAAACTATTAACAGTTGATTTCTGGAATAAAGCTGTAGGTATACATCAATGATTCAGGCTCCGAAGCAAGATAAAAAGTAAGAGTGGTCGTGAATTCGGTGCTTCAGTCTCTTGCAGCGCCTGTTGGTTACCTTGCTAATAACTTTGGTGGGAAATCTTTGTAGTCATTCTCTATGACTCATTAGCTGCCATAGTCAATTATTACACCAATGGCCTAACGATTCCCATGGTGTCCTAGAAGGACGTCTCATGTAGTTGCTTTTCATCAGGGAGGGTAGAGAGTTGTCAATTATAATGTTGCAATGGACCCCATCACATGTTGGATTCTCATAAAATCAACTGGCTGATGTTCCTGGTCAAGAAGGTTCCCAGATGGCTCACTCACCGACTATTATTTTGCTACTAAAAGCTGCATACAAAGAACTTACAAAGTATGCAGAAATGGAACAGTGGGCTACCCTTCTTGATCCAAATTATTGCATTCCACTGGTTGGTTGGCGCATTCCTATTGATTAATGGTCATGACTATTTGAATGTTCTCCTTCATAGGATCCAAGTGAAAGATGACCCTCATTGTTAATCATGCCGCTATGACATGAAACCATCTACACAACTATTCTCATTTCAAAAAAATAAGACAGAACTTGTTTGCTGACAAGACTTATTCGTCGAAATTGGCTAAGCTTTATTGACCTGCATGAAGTTATATTGCAAAAAGAAAAAAAAAATTATGAAGTCGTAATGTGATGAATATGATTCACTAATTATAATTTGAAAAGAAGTTGGGCAGAGGTACAGTTAATATATAATACTATTATAATATATAGTAGTATTAATATAATATATTGACCACATTCCCGCCCAACTTCTTATATTTATGAAATCTATTATATTTATTTAACTGTATGAATAGTATACTAAATCATATTATTGTAACTTGTATCAAACAATATGAGGAAAGTGATCAGGAAACTATTATTAAAAAATTGAATATTTAATAGTTGACCGTTGCATTATAAAGGAAGGAGATGGTCCGGGGTGGTGGTCATAAATAGGCTAAATAGTATTACCACTATTTAGCCTATTTATGACCACCACCCCTGACCATCTCCTTCCTTTATTATTAAAAAATTATTTATATTATATCTAATAGCAGTAACATAATTATGCTGTGTGTATAGCAACTCAATATATTGGGGTAGTGTTACATGTAAATATAGTATTTCTCTCAACTGACGGAATAACAACTTTCTCACCAGTTCGACTGGATTATTTCAAGAATATCAAAGTCATTAATTGTTTATTTTATTCAGTTTTAATATTTTAAAAAATATATTGTTAATTTTACTATTATTAAAGGTTTATATTTTTATTCCTTTAATATTTTGTTGTTTCACAAATTAGATTTAATGGAATATCAAAATTGTTTACCTTTTTATGTTAAATAGTTTAAATGTAAGAGGTTTTTTTCCCCCTTTACCCTTACCACACCATTTCTGGTATGTGGGTGTGGGTTATTCTAGAAGTACAACTTGACCTATTCTAACCAGAGTGGGAATGTCCATAATCATTCCATGGGTCTGCCACAGATAAATTTCAACCCACCCTGGCCAGATTTGAACTAGCGAAGCTAGACTCTAGAATGTTAAAGCAGGCAATGCTTTAATGTTTCCAGCCATCATAGCCTCAAGCTAACTTAAACTTCTGATTTACAACAGAAAAAGATTTTTATATATTCAATATTGAGCAGCATAAGCTCAATTCCCCAATTGATGTTTTTTTGGCAAAGCCTCCTGTCCAGTTGTCGACCAGTGCTGGTGCTCTTTCACACTCCATCATATCTTCTTTTATCCATTTTATACTAGCTGATAATCTGTTTGGATTATAGAAAGAGTAATAGATAAACATAGTTTATATATTTATATTTAATGGAATGCTTGTATAATATTTTGCCACTTATTGTTTATTGCTTTGTTTAGGATTGCATACCTGTGTTATATTCTTTACTTTTGGACCAGCCTTCTGAAAAACTTACTTTTCAAATACTGTTAACTTTGACCAATATTGCTGTACTACCTGATTGGCATGATGAATTCTGTCCAATTCTTCATCATCTTTATCATCTCGTGGATTCTGGATCTGCTCCTGTGAAACTTCAAGCACTTCGAGTTTTAGTTAATCTATCTTGCAATGATGACATGATCCCTAGTCTTCTTGCTGCTCATGTAATAAAAAAAATAATGATATATTATCATACATTGTTATCTATTATCTATTTTACCCTATTTTATTTTCAGGCTCCAAAAAAATTACTGCACCTGTTAGATATGTCAACGAATGAAGATATTTTGTTACGAGTGGTGACCTTATTAGCTAACTTAACTCAGTGTGTAAGAAGATTAAAAATTGATCCAATTTTAGATTTGCCTTTAGAAGATAAAGCTCCATCACCTGACACCATGTAAGAATATTTTTCTATTTATTATTTTTAAATAATAACAGTAGTAATATATTTATTCAGGGTTCACATTTTATGTTTTTAATAATTAAAAAAAAAACTATCTCTACAACCCATAGAGGGTCTTGGTTGCAATACTTCATAAGGAAGTGTTGTTTCTTGGTCTATGGTTGTGTGAGCAGGTGATTTAACCTATATCATGCTCAACTACCAAACTTTTCTCCTAAATCAATTATTAAATTTATGTAGGATAGGTGTGCCGCAGGAGAATCTCTAACCCCCAGGGTTGATCCATGGCTGTTGGAACAATAAATTTTTACCTGCTACAGCTGGATTCTGACGTATTTATGCATAGGAGCACAGTGCCTTAGTGATCAACCCTTCTCTTCTCTGTTTAATAAATGAAAAATAAAATACCCCCTATTATAATAAAATTTTAATAATAATTTTTACTGTTTTATTTATATGATTCTTCTACATTATTCTCTATCAAGGTAATTTACTTATTGTTATTAACACTAAAACATTTTTTTACTATTCAGTGTGAGTAATTACAAATTCCCTTTGGCTTGTTATTGATTACAGGTGAATTCTGATACCTGTTCTTGTTGATTTTATTAATGGTTTATGGGTTTTCTTATTAACTGTAAAACATTGAATAAACCACAAGCCTTTTTTAAACTAAGCACAATCAATCTTTATTAAACTAACAACACAACTTCATAGAAAGAACAGGGTTATAACTAACATATGTTTTATGTATTTTTTTAAAATTCATATAGTCGATATAACATATGATCGATTTGTAATTAATATTAATAAAATTACTTTTAACACAACCTCTTAATTTTATTATTATTATTAATTTTATACAAGCAAAAATATGAACTTTGAGATCAAACTTACAAACAAAAATATTTTTCTATTATTTTTCAAACATTTTAAAATAAATAAGAACTGCAATTGAAGTTAACAAAAAAGTTGTATAAAGATAAATTAATTATAAATATTAACGTTAATTTTTTCAAATTTTAAATTGCCAAGTGGCTTTGTCAAAATATCAGCTAACTGCATATCGCTTGCACAATGAACGAAATTTACAATGTTCTCATCAGAAACGTCTTTCAAAAAATTATAACGAACATCAATGTGCTTACTTCGTTTGTTCTAATAAGGTTAATGGTACTGAGGTTGTCAATTAGCATCGTCGCCTTAATTGCATTATTTGTAAGTTCTTCGATCAGTTTTTTGATGTATATAAGTTCTTTACAGCATTCAGCAGCACTGATGAATTCAGCTTCAGTACTACTTAAAGCCACAATTGGCTGCCTCCTAGATCTCTAACAAACTGGTCCTCCGTTGTAGAAAATGATGAATCCTGATGTGCTCCTCCGTGTCTCCTCATCACCTGCTTAGTCCGATTCACAGTAAGCTATGATTCTTGATTCACCATCCCCTCCAAAGGTGATTCCTTTGTTAAGACTACCCTTTAAATATCTCATTATACGTTTCAGATTTGCGAGATCTTGACTAGTCGGATTTTCCATGTATCCACTTTCATGTCCCACAGAGTAACTCAGGTCCGGTCTAGTTTTTGTAGCTAGATACAATAAGCTACTTACTGCTTCTCCGAAAGGGTAATTGGTCTGCTTATCTGATAAAGTGATTACATTTTCTTCTCTTTTTTGTTGCACCATAGGTGTCACTGAAGGGTTTGCATCCTTCATTCCGCATCGTTCAAGAATCTGGTTTGCGTAATTTTGTTGAGTTAGTCTCAAGCCTCCCTCTTTTACGACCAATTCCATGCCCAAAAAGGAAGTTGGGTTTTCTTCAATAGTTGTCTGGAACTCTTTCTTAAGTTTTTCAAGAAGCTTTAAAAATTGTATTTTATGAATGCCTGTTATTAATCCATCATCTACGTATATTGCAAGAATAACACTTCTGTCACTGTTCACAAAAACACACTGACCAGATTTTAGTGCAAACAAACCTTCCTTTTTTAAAAAGTTTGTAAACCTTTTATTCCAGTTATAGGATGCTTGTTTCAATACATAAATTGTTTTTTGTAATTTTCAAACATGGTTATTTTCTTCATATCCATCAGGTAATTCCATATATAATTCTTCATGTAGATCACCATATAGAAAGGTAGTTTTAATATCAAATTTCAAAATATGATGTTGATTTTTAATTGCAGTTGCCAATACTATTCTTAGTGATTCGTTGCAGGCTACTGGACTGAAAGTCTCATTAAAATCCAAACCATATTCCTGCTCAAAACCTCTTGCAACTAATCTTGCTTTGTATTTTCCATTGTCTTTAATTTTAAAAATCCATTTATTACCTAAAATCTTTTTCTCTTTCACTTCTTCTCTTTTTACTAAGATCCAGGTTTTATTCTCTTTGAGGGAATTCATTTCTTCATTGATGACCTCTATCTATTTTTGTTTTTCAGGCCCATTGACAGCTTCATTGTGTATAAGTAATACAAAATCTTCAAGCTTTTCAGGAGGTTTTTTAATTCTTTTGTGGAAGACGTGGAGTCCATATTGATCTGATCCAAAACAGGATTTTCTACATCATTTCTTTCGCCTTCTAAACTATTCAATTGGATTTTACTTGCTTCTTTCAATTGTTCCACAACTGCATCTGCAGTACATCCTTCTGTTGAGTTGTCATCGACTGTTTCAAGATTTCTCTCATCTTCTTCTAACTGCACCTCATTTTCTTCTTTATCTTCTGAAACATTGTCTTGTAAGTGGATTTTAAATATTTGTCGATCCGATGAAGACCTTTCATTCACCATTTTTGGTTTGAACACTATACACGGTGGGCCAGACCCCCTTACCGTGCATACCTCCCCCCCCCCCCCACATCCCTATAAATTGCATATCGTTGTGTTCCTTGTGACAATTTATTAAAAAAAGCCAATGTTCCCACAAAAAAAGTGAACGAACTGCCCCAAAATGGCGTCCAAACATGGCGGATTGACGACTTTGACTTTAGTTAGTTTTTTTGTTACTGAGAATCAGCATTTGGCTTAATTTCATCATAGTTGGTCTTTTATTAAAGCTAGATAGTCAGAGAATAATAAAACATGAAAAAATATTAAAAACTAATTGGCTTAGGCATTAAAAAAAATCGGTAAAGTCAATTTTTTTTACAAAAAAATTTTCAAGTTGAAAATCAGGCGTCGTTTGTAATTAAACGGTCAACAATAATGCAAAACAAGCTGAAATAAAACTTCTGGAGAATACATTTCTCTTTCTAAAACACTGATTACTTTTTAAAATATTTGAAGTAGTTCCGTAGAAAATGTACTTAAGCGGCTGAAATGCGCTACTGGCGTAGGTGCCTTCAGGACTCTACCACTCCACTCAGTACTCATAAATGGCTTAGTTATAGTGCTATAATAACGTTTTTGTTATATTATATTGATTGTATTAACGAATAAATATTAATACAATAATTTAATTGTCAAAAAAAAAAAATTTTAAATTTATTATTTTTTAAAATTTATTATCATTTATTTTTTTTAAATTTAACTTCCTTTATTCTATACGGAGGTCGCTTAAGAAGGCCTCTATTATAAAAAATATATAATTATAATAATAAAACTTAATTCAAAAATACTTTGCAGAATATCTTGAATTTTTTATTTAATATTTGCAATTTAACATTTTGTTTTATATATTTACTGATTCTTAGAGGTAATTTAAATTGTATATACTTCCCCGGAAATGAGTCATATTAATATCTGTTTTATAAACTAAAATGATATATACCTAATCTGAACTACTTTTAATGAATAGGTGATGGATTGTTTAATAAAATTCATATATCGCTATTAAAAAAATCATTTTTATTTCCTTTATTTTTTCAGAAGTTGGACCATATCACAAAAAACACGAAATTTTAATATTAAATGCATTATTCTCTCTGCACAAAAGAAATATAGAAAAGGCGAAGCTACAAGTTCGTATAGGTAACTGGAACTGATTGTTAGTATTTGGTCTCAAAATGAGGGAAAACGCGAAATTGAACCCAAACATTGGAAAAATACATTAAGCGAATGACAAAGGAAGTGCCAAAATTTCGGAAAAGAAAACAAGGATCAGTATCCGTCATATGGCTAAATGAATATATAGTAGACAAATGAACAGAATATTTCAAGATGCTGCTAAAAGGGGGTCAAAATGCTTGATCAGTTTGGATGATATTAAGCAGATTTATTATGGTGAAGACCATTTCATCAGCAAGAAAGATTTGTTCTAAGCAATTGGCAAGCAAGTCTGTAGGAAGTAAACGAGGTTTATAATGATGAAAACCACTTTATTTTAGATTGCTATTGAAGTTGCACATTGGGAGTGACGAATGACGACAGTCTGGACGAAGTAACCCGAAATGCTGTGTACGCAAGGCTACAAATGTATTAGAAAATGATATGGAAGGACTGTAGTTTTGTCCCTTTACAGGAAATGAGATACTAGGAAATGTTATTCGAGATTCCTTACTGTTTATAGTACCAAAGAAAGTCTACTCAAGAATCGTAGAAGCTAAAATAAGAAATATTGTTGATTGTCTAAGCGATATGGATTGAGAAACTCAACTTGCACATTGCGTACACAGCATTTCGGGTTACTTCGTCCAGACTGTCGTCATTCGTCACTCCCAATGTGCAACTTCAATAGCAATCTAAAATAAAGTGGTTTTCATCATTATAAACCTCGTTTACTTCCTACAGACTTGCTTGCCAATTGCTTAGAACAAATCTTTCTTGCTGATGAAATGGTCTTCACCATAATAAATCTGCTTAATATCATCCAAACTGATCAAGCATTTTGACCCCCTTTTAGCAGCATCTTGAAATATTCTGTTCATTTGTCTACTATATATTCATTTAGCCATATAACGGATACTGATCCTTGTTTTCTTTTCCGAAATTTTGGCACTTCCTTTGTCGTTCGCTTAATGTATTTTTCCAATGTTTGGGTTCAATTTCT